TCCGTTTCCCGAGACAGCATTCAGGATACAGTCCAGCCTGACCTCAAGCTTGGAATCCTCCTGCCTCAGGATCCTGAGGCCTGGGAGCACAGGCATGTATCACCAAGCCTGAAACCTCATACTTTTTAATCCACGCAGCAACTATGGAAGCAGACGTTATCCTCGTTGTATATGGAAGCTAAGTATAAGAACCTAGTGAAAGCTGTGATGAGTCATAATCATGGCTGGCTGGCGCTCCTGGCTAAGTCACTGCAATGTTCTGCCTTCTGGAAAAAGGAAGGGAAATGCAGCTGGTAAAAGCTGGCTGGGATGGATCTGGGAAGAGGGAGGAAGTGGTATTCTTGAAAGACACGTAGCTGCCTACTGGAATCTCCCTTCTACAGACAAGGAATGACACTGCAGTCTTAGATAGCTTAAGACAATAGGACAGGAGTCATTTCCATGAACTTCCCTAAGTCACTACCATCATCCATTAAGAATTCTAGCCTGGGGCTGGAGAGACAGCCTCAGCTGTGGAGAGCATCTATTGCACTTGCAGAAGACTGGGGATTGAGTCTTAGCATCCACACGGTGGCTTGCAACATCTGGGATACCAAGTCAGGGGATTCAGCAGGCATCCATGTGGATGAATGCAGGCCAAACATGCATACACATAGAATGAAAAGAAAAAACTATTTTCCAAAATCTTAGTGAAAAGAATCTAGTCTAGAAAATCAGACTCTGTTATTATAGTGACTCCTAGGATCACTGTTTGCTGCACATAGCTTTTAAACCAGTCACCTCAGACTGAAATGCCCTGGTCACCTGGAAGACTTGTTCAACAGACCCCAGTGTTCCTGATGCAGTCACTCCAGGATAGAGTCTAAAGATTTGCACTTTGCACAAGCTGATGGGAAATGTGGACAGTGTTGTTTCAGGAACTACACGTCAAGAGCTACTCCGAAAGAGAAAAAAAAAGAAAAAAGAATGTGCTGCAACGACTCCCACTTATATGAACATACCTATGATGAAGTGACCGATAAAAGAATAACATTTCTTAAGAGGCCAGACACCACTCTGAAGTCATACGTTATTAATCCAGCTGTTGTTGTAAGTCAAATGCATACAATAAATAGTGTTGACAAACATGCACACATGAAATGACATTTGACCATTGTATGTGCCACTGAGGTCAAGGATTATTCTTTCTAAGAATAAGAACTCAGCAAGTCAAAAGAGGCAACAATGTCCAGATTTAGGATTTGTACGTGTGTGGTGTAAATATTTTTGTGTGTACATGTATGTGCAAAATATGTGGAGGCCAGAGATCAATATTAGATGTCTTCCTCATTCTACCTTCGTTTTCAGACAGTCATCCTGGAGCTCAGCAATTCAGCTAGGCTACCTGGCCAGTGAGGTTCTAGGAACCACCCACTTCTACTCCGCCCTGTTGCAGACGTGTGCTGCCATGCTTGGCTTCTTACTGGACTCCAGGGATCAAAACTCAAGCTCTCATGCTTACTCAGCAAACATTTTGGCAACTGAGTCATTTCCTGAGCCCCAATTTCCAAATTTAAAACAACTTAAACACCCCTAATCCAACATTCTGAATCCCAAATCCAGGACTTTCTGGGCATCGTTAAGATAGCACAAGTACACAATTCCACACTTGACCTATGTGATGGGTCATGGCCTAAACATGGATGCACTGTAACTATTGTATACAATTATCTTCACACTCTGTGTATAAGGTCCACATTAAACATAAATGAATTTCATGTTAGGATTCAGACTCCATTCCCAGGATAATCTTATTGTGTATATGGGAACTATCCAAAAACCCCAAATATTTCTAGTCTCAAGTATTTCAGGTAAGCGACACTCAACTTACCAACTCTTCACAAATCCAGAAAAATAAAATAAAATTGCATTCGAGCATGTGTCCAACCATTTCAGTGTCCAATAGTTATGGATTTTTTTTTCTGGTTTTAAAGACAGGACTGAAGCCGGTGGCTGACAGTCCTGGCCACTTGTCTTGGGTTCTGCCCATCTCCTGGTGCTAGCTCCAGGTTTGTCTTGGCCTGCCCTGTTTTAGTCAGGTACATGCTTAGTTCAGGTACATTGGGCTAACCCCCTGCGGCTGAAGCTCAGTCTGCAGAGATGCCAGAAACTAGGACTATTTTAAAATGAAATTGCTTTCAAGACTAGTCAGGAGACAAGCCTTCCATTCCATAGGATCTTCCTGTAGAACTGGGCTCACTCCATCCTTTTGACATGGATAGATACTGACTATCTGATCTCTCTTTCTCAGTCGCTCAGCTTTCCTTTATTGTTTGATAATTCTCTGGGTGACAGAATATTGTCTAGAATAATTTGACTTTAAAGTTTCTATATTTAAAAAATCAGTTATGTTTGAGTAATTTTTCCTTATGGATTTCAACAGAATGAAAAAGAAAAAGAAATAACTGCTTTCAAATCTGTGCACTCAAATGCGCTGCTCTGGCAACTTAGTCTGGTTGGTAAGGGGTTCTTGTTGTCTAAAAGGTCATTCCTTCCACAGATACTCATCGAGTACCCTTTCTGTGCCATGTGCTGGGGCCCCAAGGCTTCCGTCTGTCCATTTTCTCAGGAGTCTGCTGGGACGTAGTCCTGCATGGCTTGGAGAACAAGACAGCAGAGGGAACAAAAGGCCCGTGCATCTTTCCATGAGTCACCAAGATGTGGGAGCACTCTTTCTCACACGAGCTTTCTGGTTGACAGATGTTCACAGTGTAGCCCACAGGCAGCCTGCTTTCTGCTATACCATAAATGTGACCCAGCCAGCACACAAGTCAAAAAGGTACTCATAACATTATGAGCTTTTATTTTCCTGTCATGTGATTTGATTGTGCAGGTCTCAAGTATGACCCTTGTAGGTGACAACATTTGGCTGAGGGAAGCCAAAATGTTGGGCATCCCTGCTGAATCAGTTACTTGTGTCTGGAGTATCTCAGTCATTTGTATTTGAACCATACTGCAACAAAATTAACTAGCCAGGAGACCAGCCCGGGAGACCGTCAGCCGCTGACTGGGTGATGAGATGCACAAACTCTGTACAATTGAACTGGGCTGTAAAGGGTGAGATCGTGACATTTGCAAGAAAGTGGATGGAAGACCATTTTGTTAAATAAAGTAAGCCCCACTCATATAGACAGCACATACCTTCTCTCATGTGCAGAATCTAGGGTTAGACTTTATATGTATGCATGTACATATGCACCTGTGTGTGTGTGTGTGTTAAATAAAGTAAGCCCCACTCATAAAGACAGCACATACCTTCTCTCATGTGCAGAATCTAGGGTTAGACTTTATATGTATGCATGTACATACGCACCTGTATACATGCGTGCGTGTGTGTGTGTGTTAAATAAAGTAAGCCCCACTCATAAAGACAGCACATACCTTCTCTCATGTGCAGAATCTAGGGTTAGACTTATATATGTATGCATGTACATACGCACCTGTATACATGCGTGTGTGTGTGTGTGTGTGTGTTAAATAAAGTAAGCCCCACTCATAAAGACAGCACATACCTTCTCTCATGTGCAGAATCTAGGGTTAGACTTATATATGTATGCATGTACATACGCACCTGTATACATGCGTGCGTGCGTGCGTGTGTGTGTGTGTGTGTTAAATAAAGTAAGCCCCACTCATAAAGACAGCACATACCTTCTCTCATGTGCAGAATCTAGGGTTAGACTTTATATGTATGCATGTACATATGCACCTGTATACATGCGTGCATGTGTGTGTGTGTGTGTGTGTGTTAAATAAAGTAAGCCCCACTCATAAAGACAGCACATACCTTCTCTCATGTGCAGAATCTAGGGTTAGACTTTATATGTATGCATGTACATACGCACCTGTGTGTGTGTGTGTGTGTGTGTGTGTGTGTGTGTGTGTGTGTCAGAATGGCAGAAAGGGTACTATTTTGGAAGAAAATTTCTAAATAGAATGGATGTGTCAAGGACTTCTGGGGAGGAGAGACAGACAGCAAGAGCTGAGGAGGGGAAGAGAAGAGGCGGAATAAGTCTAAAGTATAACGGCATGCAAGTGTGAAAATATCACAGTGAAATCCGTTACTTTGTATGCTAAGCTAAAAATTAATTTCGAAAAGATAAAGAAAAAAAAAGACTTAAGAGTTTTCCTACTCGTTTTTTTTTCTTTCTTTCTAACTCCACCCATACTTCTGAAGTACTTGATGTCCGAGACCTTTCCTGTTTTGGTGGATAGGAAAGATGACCAATACCGATTTTTTTTTTCTTTTAAATCTTCTTCTGTGTTCTATATTCCCTTACTGTGCACCTGCTTGTAGCTCAGGTAACCTGCTGGGTCCTGAGCATATGGATATCCTGAAAACACATTCCCTGGTCTCAGGAAGTTACGCTCTCAAAGGGAGGGCCCAAGGACGTTTGCAGGGAAATGAATGTGAGGCGTTTGTCTGTGTTCTGAGAGCGTGGAAGTAAGAGAAGTTAGCTCTGCCTTCCCGCGAAGGGAGTTCAGGCTGCTTCTCACAGAGAATTGCTACTCGTCCTACTGATGGGCAGAAAAGCCACCAGACATTGAAGTGAAGACCTTGTTTTCCTCACTCCATAATCTCAGCAGTGGTCCCTATTTACCGTAGCCAAAGGCAGCTCGCGTGTGAGATGCTGCAAATATGATTATGCCTGCTTTGCATTATTGCTCACATTACGCTTCAGATCTATTGCTCACATTATGCTTCAGATCCAAAGGTCATGGCACAAAAAAACTGCCATGGATGTTTCCCAAGGAATCTAGTTATCACACTTGACTGTAATTCCAAAATTGAAGTTTCAAAAACAAGTCAGTAGTACTTTGTGGGTTGAGTAGGGAGTGGGAGGGGTGGATACCAAGGAGGAAATGAGAAGCACTGTTAGGCAGATATCAGCTCAGGGAAGTTAGATCATAGTCCCCAAAGCCGAAGATAACTTCTAGGTTTTTTTTTTTTTGTTACCTACCATATGGAATGCTCCTGGAGCCTTGACAGGTCTGAAGCCATCAACAGGTACACACTGATCAGCATGGCCGTTGCAGAAGCAGCTGCCCTTGGCAATGAAGTCATAGATTGCGTAGTGTGTGAAGTGTTGGGGCTTGGCATTCAGGTCGTTTCCCTGACAAGGGCAGGGCTGTCTCTTGAGCATCTGCACACGGAGGTTGGTGATCTTCAGCTGCTCCTGAACTCTGGTACTGTAAGGGTTTTCTATGTCATATGGCGGTGACAGAGCCCTGAAAATAACCTGTGGAGAGAAGAAAGCACCATGTGTGTACAGGCTGTGTGCAAGTCCTGCATTGTTTGACCACTGTAGTCCCAGTTTGATTTATACCCTTGGTTATCTGCGAATGATAAGATAACCTGAGGCGTTTAGACCTTGATCACACCTGGAGAAGAGCCACCCTGTTATTCTAAGGAACAGGTGTGCCTTCTGTTGGGATGCAGAATTACCCTGTGAGTAACCCACGGAGACGTGGCTCTTGAGATGAAGGTGGCCTTGCAGAGGTCACCGGGAAGAGCATCTGAGCAACAGCAAGCTTCAAGGCCTTGTAGCAGAGCCAGGCTTGACTTCTTCCAGGAAGAACAATAAGCCTGGCATGGTGGCAAATAGGAGTTGAGGCAAGAGGCTCACACGAGCCAAGAGTTTGAGACCAGCCAGGACAACATAGAGAGACCCTGTATCAAACCAAAACCAAAACCAAACCAAGACGAGTGAACAAGGACAGAGGGCCGAGAATGCAGGAAACAAATGGCAGACTGACATGCAGAGAGGGAGGCCTTGAGAGGCGTTTGTGAGGTGTCTCCCACTGCAGGGAGCCAGTGGGGATGTGTGGCCAGGTACCCCATCAGAGTCATCGCTTGTTCTGAAAAGATAACATCACTTCCCAGGCCAGGGCACAGACTGTACCTGTAAAGAATAAGGGCTTGTGGGTAGCACAGGGGAGGCCCTGGGTTTGTTGGATGCCGACCACTTCAGTAAATAAATAGCAAAGTAGTCAAAAATCAAACAGGAGAGCCAGTTAGAAGCAGCTGTAAAGCCTGTAAAACACACAGGAGCTTGTGTTTCTGAGTGAAACTTAACCCTTTCAAAGACTAATTGATTAACAATTGGGGCCATCATTGCTATTCTGCAAATATTTGTGGTTTTCCTTATCTGGGACTGAATCCCACATTTGTGGCACTTTAAAGAAGGATATCCCTAACAGACTAACAGAAGGTGAATGTGCTGCCCTTGAGGGCAGATTGATTTCTGAAATGAGTTAGAAGTCATTTATATCCAAGTGTAAGGAGAAAAGTGCCCCCATCAGTTTGGTGCTCCTGGGTAAATAAGCCACCTGGTTAATGAGACCACTTCTCTGGTGGGGGTTACAGATGGACTCTGAAGTTTGGGAAAGGAAGTTGGAGGGAGGAAGGCTCAGAGGGGTGGGCTTTGGCTACTGGGAAGAAACCTTTGGCCATGCATGAGGTTCTACTAGGGTCATAAAGTGGTTCTGACACGAGTGGTACCTGATCCCCAATTTGCCTGTCACCTGGAGGAGCAAGGTTGGTAGGAGAGGACATCACAGACAACAGAAACAAGGGATATGAGAGATTCTGAGGTATTATGACATGAAACAGTATTTAAAAGCATGCTTACTACACAAGTTTTATAAAGACAATAAACCCTGGGCAGCCTTGAGCATTATGCATGTTGAGAGTATCTTTTGGGCTGTGAGAACTTAAAAACTCTTTTTTTGTTGTTTTGTTTGGTTTCTCTGTGGCTTTGGAGCCTGTCCTGGAACTCGCTCTTGTAGACCAGGCTGGTCTGGAACTCACAGAGATCTGCCTGCCTCTGCGTCCCGAGTGCTGGGATTAAAGGCAAGCACCATCATTGGCCAGCTAAAAACTCTTAATAATAGTAAATAAAAATAAATATTTTGACAACTAAGTCATACAAAAATAATTATCAAATGTAGGCTTTGGAAAAGCTACTGCTTGGGGGAAATGTATTCAAGTGACTTTATGGAAACATATTTTTTAAAGTTGTCTCTGATCAGGCCAAGGGGCCTTGCACATGCTCCCCTGCTGGAAAGCTCTCTATCCTCAGCGCTGCTGTCACTCGCTCTCTCTCTTTCTTCTTGAAAAATAACTTTCTCTTAAGGCTGTTTAGGTATAAAATTTTCATTGTAGAAACGAATTTTAGGGGGTTGGAGAGATGGCACAGCAGCTGAGAGTGCTTGTGACTCTTGTAAAGGACCCGAGTTTAGCTCTCAGCACCCACGTGGTGGCTCACACACGTCGGTGACGCCAGCTTTTAGAGATCCAGCGCTCTTTCCGGCACTCCACAAGCATCAGACACACGTGTGCAGCACACATATGCATGGAAGCAAGACACTCACATGCATAAAAGAAATAAATATTGTAACTTAAAAAAAGGAAGGAAGGAGGGAAGGAAGGAAGGAGGGAAGGAAGGAAGAAAGGAAGGAAAGAAGGAAGGAAGGAAGGAAGGAAGGAAGGAAGGAAGGAAGGAAATGCCCAGGCATAATGTCACTCGCCTTTAATCCCAGTTCTCAAGAGGCAGAGGCAGGTAGATCACCTAGTTTAAGGCCAGCCTGGCCCACACAGAGGAACCCTGTATCCTTCCCCACTCTACCCCCCCAAAAGAAATGTGCTTTATAGCAAAAGCAGGAAAAGGCAGGGAATCGGCTGTGGAGGACCTCACCGAACACTGTGTACACTTAACCTTTATACAGTCAGTAACCAAAATGACTCTTCAGCGTAAAAGAGAAGACTAAATTACCTCTCACTCTAGCTTAACCATCCTCCCCACCCTGCCAAAGACGCAGTTTCTTCAGAATAAAACGGTCTTCAATGACCCTGCCCGATTTTGGTCCTTAGTATTTATAGTGCCTGTGCTTAGTACCTGACAGTCTACTTATGGTACTAACAGTAAACAGTACTTACAGTACCTGTGCTTAGTACCTGAAAGTACTTATAGTACTCACAGTAAACAGTACTTTAGTACCTTACAGTCTACTTAGAGCTCTTTTTGATCTGATGTCTTCCCAGGAGGGAGTGAAAACTTCCTGGGGGCAGTTCCAGCATCACAGGAGCCACTTTGTAGGTGTCTAGTGCATTTTTGATAAATGACTAAAATGAATTACAAAACTCCCCTCTGCACCTGAGTAATGGTGAGACTGTAAGCACCCTCTGTCTGTGTGGAGCCCCCATATAGACCCTGTGCTGAATTTCACAGCAAGCAGGAGAGGCAAGGACTTGGCGCAGAAGTAACAAAGAGAGGCCGCATTATTAACTAACCAGTGCACGCATTTTTAAACACCTCAAACCTAGACACATGTTATCTTAAATATATTCTGGTCCATTCTTGCCCACGGGTGCAGTTGCTGGGAAAGGACACAGCAAGGAATCAAGTTTTCCAACAAATACTATGTCACATAGTTGGTAGTCATCGTAGAAATCATGAGTTTGCTTCTTAAAGACAGAATTCAGAACATACTTCATATATTTGAGACACTTAGCAAACAAAACTCCCAAAAGCTGGAGCCATCGTGGGCTGTAAAGTCGACCCTGGCATTTCTTTTAGCTCTTCACGCAGGCATAGAGAGGCACGACCCGGTGCCAGCCAAGCAGTGCCCACTGAGAAGCCTCAGTGCTTCATGCTCTGTCTGCCCACCCACCCTTCCTCTTCCTGGACATTGGTGGCAGCTGTTTGCACTCTGTTCCGGTCACGTGTTTACCCTTCACATTCTTGACATTTACCCGGACTGCCTCTCCCTCCCCACCGGCTCACCCTGAGAGTCGGTCAGCACCAGCACAGGGGGAGGAAGATCCGAAGAGCCGGCAAGGCTTAGGGAAACTTGGAGGCCCTTTTGCTTCCTGAGCGCAGTCCAGGGAGGCTGAATGGTGACTCTGTGCTGGGTGAGCATGACACCACAGTTGGCACGCTGGTATCAGCAGGGAAGGGACATCATGACCCCTGAGGCTGCGTGCTGGGAAGGAGACAGCAGAGTGCCGCAGACACAAAAGCCAACAGGAATTTAAACCATGAAATCTCCCTCCCCCCCTCCCGCCCCTGAGAGGAGACGCCTTAATCTGATACTCTGGGAAGGGGATCTAGCCTACATCAGGAAACAAAAAGTACGCCAATCCAGATGCTGCAAAGTCCTGGCAGGTGGCCCTTGGGTCCCACCCGGAACAAGCCTGTGTGCCACTACAGAAGAGAAGTAAGGCACTGTGGGGCCGTCCGTATCCCAGAAGCCTCTTCTTGTTTGGGCCCGATGGAGAGCAGGAGGTGCCAGGGGCTTGATCCATCGTTGATCTGCCTCCAGGTATTCCTGAACGCACACTCCCAACAAGGAGGCTGATGAAGACGAGGTCTCCTTCCAGCCTGTTAGGGCCGATACCCGGTGCCTCGTGATTCTTTCTCCTTAGATTAAGTGATTTTATTTTTATTGTGTTTTAGTTACTGACACTCTGCTCATCACAGAGAAGTTCTGTTCATACTTTAGAAGGCAATTAAGTTCCCACACTATGTGTTTGCCACAGACAGCCAGGAATATGAACTTGATATTCATATCTTTCGCCCTAAACTCCTGTATAGAGTGCCAACAGTTCTGTACAGTTGGTGAGTATTCTTCCAGTTCAGGAAATATGCCTCTACACCAGTAGTTCTGAAAAGGTAGCCCTTGGATCTACAGCACCCTTGGGGAACTTTTTAGAAAAGCAAATTCTTGAGCCCTATCTCAGGTCAACTAAATCAGGGACTCTACAAGCTTGGCTGAGCACTCTGTGTTTCAGTGGGCCCTCTAGGTAATTCTGATGCAGAAGAGAGAGTAAGAAACATTGCCACACAGTTAAAAAAAAACCTGCTTAGAATGCCATTGTATGGATGACATAATTTATTTAGCTAGGCTGCTATTGTTAGGCAATGAGGCTGTTTCCTTCTCCATGTAACCAAATACAATGAACAACACTGTAAGTGAAATGTGGACGTAGTTGGTATTTTCCTAACTTCCAAAAGTAAAATCAATGGGGCCAAGAAAACGCATAATTTAAAAAGATCTGCCCTTCTGAATGAATCTTGGATCCTCTCCTATCCAATCCCTGGTCTTGCCTGAACTCCTCCATCGCCCCAACTCTCAAGACAGGGTTTCCCTGTGTAACCCTGACTGTCCTGGCACTCGCTCTGTAGACCAGGCTGGCCTTGAACTCACAGAGATCCACCTGCCTCTGCCTCCCAAGTGC